CTTGCCATGAAAAATATTTTCAAACAGTTATATTTGATTTAGCAAAGTCACACAAGTGGCAATTTTACATCCGTCATATCCACAACAGAGAGGATTTACATCAATAACCAAACTTTTCCCTCATAAATGCAAAAATGTACAATAAAATAAAACATGTTTGTTCTAGAGCAAACTCTTGTGCAGTTTAATTCAAAGAAATTTTACAAGTACGTTGTGTACTGTAAACTTGCTATTGTTTTTTGTCACATCTATACCACATGTTAATTTTCCTAATTTAAAATATCAAAAATGTTCATAGTTTGATATTTTTCCCATGACTAGTTTATGGGAAATTAGTTTGATCAGGTGTGTTTAATTAGCATTGGAACTAAACTGTGCAGAGCTGCGGCCCTCCAGGAACTGAGTTTGACACCTGGGCAATAAAGCAACACACTGACTATTTGTTGGTTATTATACCTGTTAAAGTACTTTTTTGCAGCTTAGGTCAGGATCCTGATAATACTATATGTCATGACAAAAGCTTTAGCAATTAATTGCAATAAGGAAATGTGTAGAAGCCTTGCTGTATAGTGACTTTTTGCTGCTTTTCTGTTCTGACTGTAAATGTGGCATTGCAGTCACGAGCTTACCATCCACTAAGCTCCATCAGGAATTTCGCTAAGAGTCTCAAAACCATTTTAACGTAAAAAAACAGCAAATCTTTTAAGTCAGGTCACCACCTGTGGGTGAGGTGCAGTTCAAAGCTGGTGTGTTTGTTAAATCTCTGAGCTTAATATACATGCTAATGCAAAAATCACCCCTGGTGTAATAGCTGCTGCAATAATGAGGCCACTTGATTAATCTGAGACTACAGTTTATCCTTCTCATAATTCCCAGCCAGCAATAACAAGACCTCCCAATGTGTGATAGAGCAGTGTCCAGCATTATAAAAGCAGTGCCGCTACGCCCACAATCTGACATTCATCCTAAATTAGTTTCCGTGCCTTTCAGAGAACTGTTTTTCCCATCTTGGGAGTAAAAGCATTTATGATTATAGAAAAGAAGAATTCAGCCTGTTAGCATTACAGCTGTGTGTGTGTGTGTGTGTGTTTGTGTGTGTGTTTAAAGGGGACCTGTTATGAACCTTTTTACAATGTAAAATTAGTCTCTGATGTCCTTAGACATTGTGTGTGATGTTTCAGCTCAAAATAATCACACAAATAATGTTTCATAACCATTTTGTTCGCTTTGTATTCAAATGAGATTGTGCTCTTTTCAAAAGAGGGCGGAGCTACAGATGCCTGTATGTCAGCATAGTGGCAGATTCAAAAACAAGACTCATGGTGCGCTCACCCCAGACACGGATGAAGCATCAAGCGCGAGTGATTTATGTTAAAGGTGCAGTAGGTGATTGTCTTCAGAAACATGTTTTGTTGTGCTGGTTGAAAGTCTCTTCACGGTCTAATTGTAATGATTACAGTAAATGATCTAAATGTGTTTATATGTATTTTTATATTCTGGGTAAAGCATAAAACAAAAAAATGTTCATCCAATTAAATAAAGAGTTGGACCGTCATCTCCCTTAATTCCGATAAGCACGTCAGGCTGTCTGTCAGCAAATGTAGATTCCGACTTTTGCGCATGTGTTCACGCAGATCCGCCATTAGCGCGTGACCGTCTGCATCACAAACACATGCGCTCCGAGCAAGATGCGGGCCACTCGCAGATGCCGAGTCGGAGCCGGAGGCACCGAAGGACAGCCGAGCTCGGCCCGATTACTGTAAAGCCAGGCGCGGGTATAATTCGCCCTTAATGCGGCCGCGCAGTCACGAGACGGACCGGAAGAAATCAAATGATGAATTGAAACTTTTAAAAACCTGAATCAATATTGGAGTTACTTTAGCACGCTGGAGGAAGGACGACACCATGGCTGAAGTATTACTGTTAGACAGGTAGTGTTCTGTTTTGATTATTTCATTTAATTTGTGTTTGTTTATTCATCTTATTTTTGAATTTTCATTTTGTTTCATATCTTTTATTTTAATATATATTGTATTTTTATTTTATTATATTTGTTTTTATTTTTGTTATGTTTCATATTTTTATTATAAATTTAATTGATTTAATTTAATTACATTTTTTTATTTTTGTATTTTTATTTTTGTTTTGTTTAAATTTTTTTAATATATATTTTAATTTTGTATTTTATTTGTTTTTATTTCATTTTGCTGACCATTGCTAAGGTAACACTTCAAATCGGCCTGACCAAGTTGTTTGACTTACTTGGACTACACTTGGTTTTGACCCATATTTGTAAAACCTATACACAAAATCATGATTTAATACAGCAGCACTCAAATAACATATTTTTATATACACTTAATAAAAATGCTGGGTTGTTTTAACCCAATATTGAGTCAAATATGTACAAATCCAACATTGGGTCAAGTTTTTCAATTAAATATAAATTACACCTTTTAACACATTGATAGGATTTGTAATTGCATATGACCAAACGTTTGGTTAATACAACTCATCATTTTTATAAAGTGTAGCATATGACCTCCTTAAACAATATGGTAAATATTGAAGACATTGAGCTTAAATTGACACATTTTTAATGTAGTTTTGTGTTTTAATGTTTTAAAGAAGTCATTTATGCTCACAAAGTCTGATCAGAGATGCAGTAAAAAACTCCGTAATATTGTTTTATTGATTACTTTTAATATAAGTTTTATTGTTTAAAAAAATTGTAATGAGAAATATTTTATGTTTTAATTAATTCCTCTGATGGCAAATCAGATCAAATCAAATCATTTGTCGTGTCATGGGAGTAAAAACACTCATAATCATAAAAATGAAGAACAATGTTACAGCTGCTAGATCTTCACAGTGACGAATTCCAACTCTGAATTAAACACACCTTCACCCGGACCCCATAAAACACACTTGAGTGTTTTTGGGTGGTTTAGTGAGTGTGTTTGTGTGTATATGCGTATGTGTGTGTGTGTGTGTGTGGCCTCATTTATGAGGAGTGGTGAAAATGTAGGAAAGCGTTTCCAGGAAGATGAAAGATAAACAGCATTGTTCCCTCCCTGTCATCGGCCCTCACTCTCCTCTTCATGTCTAACACACACACACTTCAGAACAGTGTGTTCCCCCTCCACCCGACACAGATCTCACTGTGTGTGTGTGTGTGTGTGTGTTTGCTCGTGCGTGTGTGCGTGTGTGTGTGTGGGACAGTCAGAATGATGGAGAGTTTTTTTTATTGGCCACTAGACTATGACCATTGTCGTGTTTTTAGAATTATTTTAGCTATATATCTATTTTTATGATGCTTATGTGTGCGTTTAAATCTTATAATATTAGATAAAATTAAAATATCGGGTTACATGCTGGCTCAGTAGTTAGCACTGTCAAGCAAGAAGGTCGCTGGTTCGAGTCCTGGCTGGGTCAGTTGGCATTTCTGTGTGGAGTTTGAATGTTTTCCCCATGTTGCCCTGGGTTTCCTCCGGGTGCTCTGGTTTCCCCCACAGTTCAAACACGTGCACTATAGGTGAATTGGGTAAACAAAATTGGCCATTATACATGAGTGTGAAAGAGTGTGTGTGAAGTAGAATGAATGAATGAAAATCAAAAAAATTTATAAAATTTTATCATGTTTAAAAAAATAATATTAAAATATATTTATTATAATTTAGGA